GATCCTTGACTTTGGCGATGTCATTTACAAAATAGCCTCCAACACTCTACTCAGCAAATTGGATGTAGTCTATCACAGTGCCATCCGTTTTGTCTCCAAAGCCCCATACACTACCCACCACTGTGACCTGTACGCTCTTGTTGGCTGGTCCTCACTACATGTTCGTCGTCAAACCCACTGGCTCCAGGCCATCTATAAATCACTGCTAGGCAAATCCCCGCCTTATCTTAGCTCATTGGTCACCATAGCAGCACCCACCCGTAGTCTGCGCTCCAGCAGGTATATCTCACTGGTCATCCCCAAAGCCAACACCTCCTTTGGCCGCCATTCCTTCCAGTTCTCTGCTGCCAATGACTGGAACGTATTGCAAAAATCTCTGAAGCTGGAGACTCTTATCTCCTTCACTAACTTTAAGCATCAGTTGTCAGAGCACCTTACCGATCACTGCACCTGTACTAAGCCCATCTGAAATTAGCCCACCCAACTACCTCATCCCTATATTGTTATTTATTTTGTTATTTTGCACCCCAGTATCTCTATTTGCACATAATCTCTTGCACATCTAGCATTCCAGTGTTAATACTAATTGTAATTATTTTGCACTATAGCCTATTTATTGCCTTACCTCCATAACTTGCTACATTTGCACACACTGTATATATATTTTCTGTTGTATTTTTTGACTTTATGTTTTTAATGCACTGCTTTGCTTTATCTTGGCCAGGTCGCAGTTGTAAATGAGAACTTGTTCTCAACTGGCTTACCTGGTTAAATAAAGGTGAAATGAAAAAATAAAAAATAAAAAGCTTGGTCGCAAATGGGTCTTCCAAATGGACAATGACCCCAAGCATACTTTTATTGTTGTGGCAAATGTCGTGGCAAAATGGCTTAATGACAACAAAGTCAAGGTATTGGAATGGCCATCACAAATCCCTGACCTCAATCCTATAGACAATGTGTGGGCAGAAATTGAAAAAGCGTGTGCGAGCAAGGAGGCCTACAAACCAGACTCAGTTACACCAGCTCTGTCAGGAGGAATGGGCCAAAATTCACCCAACTTATTGTGGGACGCTTGTGGAAGGCTACCCGAAACGTTTGACCCAAGTTAAACAACTTAAAGGCAATGCAACCAAATACAAATTGAGTGTATGTAAACTTCTGACCTACTGGGAAAGTGATGAAAGAAATTAAAGCTGAAATAAATTATTCTCTCTACTATTATTCTGACATTTCACATTCTTAAAGTGGTGATCCTAACTGACCTAAGACAGGGAATTTTTACTAGGATTAAATGTAAGGAATTGTGAAAAACTGAGTTTAAATGTATTTGGTTAAGGTGTATGTAAACCTCTGACTTCAACTGTATATCACCACCCAAAAGGGCACTTGGCGAGTGGGAGGGCAAAGGCGCATGTTTGAGGGCACAGGTAGACCCTTATCAGTGCACGTGCCGTTGATACAACAGCGGTGCACTGGTACCCAGCTTATCAACTCATCGTGCAGCCCAATCAGCCACGCAAAATGATCTTGAGTGTAAACAAATCTGCCCAATTATATGATTCGCTTTCCATACACCCACTCCTTTCGACACACCCACTCGCCCATACTCCGGTCTCCATATTGGGCTGCAGCTACATAGCACCGAAGATGATCTATTAAATTGAAAAGATAGCCGAGTGAGCTCTAACAATGGAAATACATGTCCTCAATGATTTGAAGGCAGGCGAGATCAGGTGGGACCATTCTAACTAATGAGAGGGCATGTGGACAACAGGCAACTTAGTCGTTTTTCTCAACATTGCCGGAGTGCCACGTGCATCCACTCATTTGTAACAGCACATTCAGTACATTTGTAACAGCCTAAACATTACGAAACTTCTATTCGATCAAATATGACTCATGCAATTCGACACTCTCGTTACAGAAAAACGGCTTATCTCACACGGACAGATTTTGGGCAGAGTAAATCCTCTCGTTTCGCCTCTTCCTCTCTGATAGCACACACATTTTCGAGAAACACGGTAAACTATACAGGAATGACGATATATACAGTGGGGAAAAAAGTATTTAGTCAGCCACCAATTGTGCAAGTTCTCCCACTTAAAAAGATGAGAGAGGCCTGTAATTTTCATCATAGGTACACGTCAACTATGACAGACAAAATGAGAAAAGAAAATCCAGAAAATCACATTGTAGGATTTTTTATGAATTTATTTGCAAATTATGGTGGAAAATAAGTATTTGGTCAATAACAAAAGTTTCTCAATACTTTGTTATACAGTATACCCTTTGTTGGCAATGACACAGGTCAAACATTTTCTGTAAGTCTTCACAAGGTTTTCACACACTGTTGCTGGTATTTTGGCCCATTCCTCCATGCAGATCTCCTCTAGAGCAGTGATGTTTTGGGGCTGTCGCTGGGCAACACGGACTTTCAACTCCCTCCAAAGATTTTCTATGGGGTTGAGATCTGGAGACTGGCTAGGCCACTCCAGGACCTTGAAATGCTTCTTACGAAGCCACTCCTTCGTTGCCCGGGCGGTGTGTTTGGGATCATTGTCATGCTGAAAGACCCAGCCACGTTTCATCTTCAATGCCCTTGCTGGTGGAAGGAGGTTTTCACTCAAAATCTCACGATACATGGCCCCATTCATTATTTCCTTTACACGGATCAGTCGTCCTGGTCCCTTTGCAGAAAAACAGCCCCAAAGCATGATGTTTCCACCCCCATGCTTCACAGTAGGTATGGTGTTCTTTGGATGCAACTCAGTATTCTTTGTCCTCCAAACACGACGAGTTGAGTTTTTACCAAAAAGTTATATTTTGGTTTCATCTGACCATATGACATTCTCCCAATCCTCTTCTGGATCATCCAAATGCACTCTAGCAAACTTCAGACGGGCCTGGACATGTACTGGCTTAAGCAGGGGGACATGTCTGGCACTGCAGGATTTGAGTCCCTGGCGCCGTAGTGTGTTACTGATGGTAGGCTTTGTTACTTTGGTCCCAGCTCTCTGCAGGTCATTCACTAGGCCCCCCCGTGTGGTTCTGGGATTTTTGCTCACCGTTCTTGTGATCGTTTTGACCCCACGGGGTGAGATCTTGTGTGGAGCCCCAGATCAAGGGAGATTATCAGTGGTCTTGTATGTCTTCCATTTCCTAATAATTGCTCCCACAGTTGATTTCTTCAAACCAAGCTGCTTACCTATTGCAGATTCAGTCTTTCCAGCCTGGTGCAGGTCTACAATTTTGTTTCTGGTGTCCTTTGACAGCTCTTTGGTCTTGGCCATAGTGGAGTTTGGAGTGTGACTGTTTGAGGTTGTGGACAGGTGTCTTTTATACTGATAACAAGTTCAAACAGGTGCCATTAATACAGGTAACGAGTGGAGGACAGAGGAGCCTCTTAAAGAAGAAGTTACAGGTCTTTGAGAGCCAAAATCTTGCTTGTTTGTAGGTGACCAAATACTTATTTTCCACCATAATTTGAAAATAAATTCATAAAAAATCATACAATGTGATTTTCTGGAATTTCTTTTGTCAATTTGCCTGTCATAGTTGACGTGTACCTATGATGAAAATTACAGGCCTCTTTCATCTTTTTAAGTGGGAGAACTTGCACAATTGGTGGCTGACTAAATACTTTATTTCCCCACTGTGTATATATATATTCAGAATCCCTACTTGCAGGTGAATGCATCGATTGTTTTCGGATAATTGAAAAACTAGCTAAGTGTATATTCTACTATTTTCAACAAAATCACGAAAATACGACCGGAACAGTGTCCCGATATGCTAGGGAGTAGTCTAAACGGGATCCTTGGGACTTCCCAACTCTGACGTCACCCAATTGAAGTTTAGGTTTAAAACGGTAAGGGCATAGATAGAACAATGAGACAGATATTTCACCAGATGTATAAATGTGAAGTATCCGGTTGGCGTTCCCTCTCACTACCAAATATGGTATTGAGAGGAAGCCCAGTGGCCGGCAGTGGTAGAAGATGCAATGAGATGGCTTTTGGCCGACATTCTCTTAATTTACTCATCAATGAAACATTTGATCTCAATACAGTTTACTGCTCCCAAACCAAAATCTTTTACGAGCAGAGTGGACAAAGTTTTGTAGACTTTACCCTAAGTTTAGAAAAATGGCGTTGTTTGGAAGGAGTGCAAAGGCGAATTGAGTTATTGCACACGCGCACTTCAGAGTAGGCGTTCCCCAACGGAAATATACAAATGCTAAAACGTGGCAATAGGATCGCACTAGCTCGTGCTTGGCTCTGCCCACTTACTTGCTTGTTCTCCCCACTATGGCTCAGTTGTTCCTAATTGAAACGACAGTCTGTAGTCTATCTTGGTTTAGTTATAAAAAATCTTCGGTAAGGGTCGGGGTTAGGGTAGGGTCGTCCCAAGGATTCCAGATAGCACCAACCGATATGCTAGCTAGCTTGAGAGCTTGCATGCTTAATAGTTCAAGTAACGTTAGCTAATGTATTTTGACACCACATAAGTTAGAATGCCTGACCTGATAGTTTATTAGCTTGCAATAGAAATGAATATTGCCAGTCCATGAATGAACATGTATGATACAATGAACATGTATGATACAAAGTGAATCACCAAGCTAGCACCCTATTCCCTATATAGTGCCCTACTTTTGGTAGTGCATTGTATAGGGAATCTTCAGTTCCAGCTGCACATCTTATGCATTACCATTTCGTTCTTCCTCTGCAGGTTCTTTGATGGACCCTGAGAAATGCAACCTGCCCTGTCTTGAGTCTAAGAACCATCCTTGGGAGACACAATGTGCGACAACCAGTTTTCACAACGTGCAGACTTCACTGTTCCACCCACAACCAGACTAGCACCCAGCATCATCATACTGACCTGTCACAGCACCAAGCGCTCCTCGACAGGGCTTCACAGACACCCAGGCAGATCAACTCTTAGAGGCAGAAACCAAGCATCGAGGAGGGCAGAGTGAACATGCCTCTTCTATTCTCATGGCTCTTTTTGTCCTGGGCCTCAACCGATCTAGTGTGCTGAAGGTGTTGGAGAAGTGTCCAGAGTTGTTTTATGTGAAGGGCACTCAGCTGCAGCAATGTATGGACAACCTGAGGAGACTAGGGCTGATTGAAGGTGAGAGGATGAACCTGTCTTTACATTGCATTGTCTCAGGTTATACAGGTTGAGGGTGTTGTTACCACATGACAGTTTGAGATAGGCCTAGATGGATCATAGTGATTCAAGTGCCATTTATTGTATTTATTCACAAAACTATTGGATGTGTATGTGCATAACATCTTCCATCCATTTTCCATGGATGCTCTCCAACACAATCTCCCCTTTGTGTCTCTGTCTCTCTCTCCAGGCAGTCTGCAGCGGGTGGTGAGCCACTACCCCCTGATCCTGACCCTTACTCTGAGGAGGGTTAACACGGTGGCCAGGTTTCTCAGGGAGAAGTGTGCCTTCACTGTCCAGCAGGTCACTGACCTCTTCAGAGACTCTCCAGCCATGGTGCAGGACGACCTGGGAGAGCTGGAGTACAAGTTCCAGGTCAGAGGTCACACTCACTGGGAGTTGGGATTAAGATAAAATATTTGAATGGGATTGAAAGGGAATTTTGGCTACAAGGCTTTTTCAGGTCAGACTCACTGGGAATTATAATGATGTACAGTGGGGAAAAAAAGTATTTAGTCAGCCAACAATTGTGCAAATTCTCCCACTTAAAAAGATGAGAGAGGCCTGTAATTTTCAACATAGGTACACGTCAACTATGACAGACAAAATGAGAAAAAAAAATTCAGAAAATTACATTGTAGGATTTTTAATGAATTTATTTGCAAATTATGATGGAAAAAAAGTATTTGGTCAATAACAAAAGTTTCTCAATACTTTGTTATATACCCTTTGTTGGCAATGACACAGGTCAAATGTTTTCTGTAAGTCTTCACAAGGTTTTCACACACTGTTGCTGGTATTTTGGCCCATTCCTCCATGCAGATCTCCTCTAGAGCAGTGATGTTTTGGGGCTGTCGCTGGGCAACACGGACTTTCAACTCCCTCCAAAGATTATCTATGGGGTTGAGATCTGGAGACTGGCTAGACCACTCCAGGACCTTGAAATGCTTCTTACGAAGCCACTCCTTCGTTGCCCGGGCGGTGTGTTTGGGATCATTGTCATGCTGAAAGACCCAGCCACGTTTCATCTTCAATGCCCTTGCTGATGGAAGGAGGTTTTCACTCAAAATCTCACGATACATGGCCCCATTCATTCTTTCCTTTACACGGATCAGTCGTCCTGGTCCCTTTGCAGAAAAACAGCCCCAAAGCATGATGTTTCCAACCCCATGCTTCACAGTAGGTATGGTGTTCTTTGGATGCAACTCAGCATTCTTTGTCCTCCAAACACGACGAGTTGAGTTTTTACCAAAAAGTTCTATTTTGGTTTCATCTGACCATATTACATTCTCCCAATCCTCTTCTGGATCATCCAAATGCACTCTAGCAAACTTCAGACGGGCCTGGACATGTACTGGCTTAAGCTGGGGGACACGTCTCACACTGCAGGATTTGAGTCCCTGGCGGCGTAGTGTGATACTGATGGTAGGCTTTGTTACTTTGGTCCCAGCTCTCTGCAGGTTATTCACTAGGTCCCCCCGTGTGGTTCTGGGATTTTTGCTCACTGTTCTTGTGATCATTTTGACCCCACGGGGTGAGATCTTGCGTGGAGCCCCAGATCGAGGGAGATTATCAGTGGTCTTGTATGTCTTCCATTTCCTAATAATTGCTCCCACAGTTGATTTCTTCAAACCAAGCTGCTTACCTATTGCAGATTCAGTCTTCCCAGTCTGGTGCAGGTCTACAATTTTGTTTCTGGTGTCCTTTGACAGCTCTTTGGTCTTGGCCATAGTGGAGTTTGGAGTGTGACTGTTTGAGGTTGTGGACAGGTGTCTTTTATACAGATAACAAGTTCAAACAGGTGCCATTAATACAGGTAACGAGTGGAGGACAGAGGAGCCTCTTAAAGAAGAAGTTACAGGTCTGTGAGAGCCAGAAATCTTGCTTGTTTGTAGGTGACCAAATACTTATTTTCCACCATAATTTGCAAATAAATTCATTAAAAATCCTACAATGTGATTTTCTGGATTTTTTTTTCTCAATTTGTCTGTCATAGTTGACGTGTACCTATGATGAAAATTACAGGCCTCTCTCATCTTTTTAAGTGGGAGAACTTGCACAATTGGTGACTGACTAAATACTTTTTTTCCCCACTGTAGTTGGGTATGATAAAAAAAAAGAAAAAGACAAGGAAAGGAGACTTTATTCTCAATGCAAATTTCCCAATTGGGACAGTAAATATATTGATTGATGCTTTAGCTGCAAGACAACTACAAAAACATTATGCTGATCATTAAGCCTAATTGTTTTTGAGTATGTTGGTCCTTTATGTCAAATATTTTCTTTCACTTCTTACACCTGTTTTCCCCATCCCTCTCGGCAGTACGCCTACTTCCGCATGGGGGTCAAGCAGACAGAGATGGTGAAGTCCAAGCTGTTCCGGGTAATCCTGGAGGAGGTACGCTGTAGACACTGCTTCCTGGAGCGCAGGGGGCTGTACCAGACCCCCGACAAGAAGGACCAGACCCTCATCATCAACCCCAAACTTAACGATATCCTCGCCGTCCCTGAAGAAAACTACCTCACCGACATCACCATGGCAACACAGGAGGAGTTTGAGGTGTTCTAGAAGCTGATGGCAATAGAGTGGCAGGAGGAGGATGATGAGCAGGAGAGGGACATGGGAGCTGACAGTGATGATGATGATGAGGAGGAGAAAAATATGAAAAGTGGCTACAGGAAGAGGAGAAAGAGATGAAGGTAAAGATTGTGCGGGAACCTGTGATATCTGAAACAGAGTGGACATTCAAAAAGATCGAGCTATTTATCACTTGAAAATGTAATAAAGTATTTTCATGTTGATTACTTGACTGTTATTGTAGTTAGTGTGTTGTATGAACATTTAGAAGTCCCCTGTAGCTCAGTTGGTAGAGCAAGGCGGTTGCAACGCCAGGGTTGTGGGATCGTTTCCCACGGGGGGCCAGTATGAAAATGTATGCACTCACTAACTGTAAGTCGCTCTGGATAAGAGCGTCTGCTAAATGTAAAAATGTACTACTGTGTGTCTGCAGTAAATTACTGTCCACTCATTGAACAAACACACAATTGTAAAAACACTGACATAGGCACAGTTTGGGAACATGTCCCATTGGGATGGTAACCACTTTCATCTGATTCTCAAAACTACGCCTGACTGCCCATTCATGTATTGACCTGTCCAGTTTTCCCTGAGCTGCCAGGTATCCATGGCTACGCTAAGTGGCCACCTTGAGGCCCATGTTCTTAGTCATTAGTGTCGATCTGTCCCATCCGGAGATGAGATGATGATGTCAACACCATGAGAGCTAATAGATAAGAAAACTCTGAACTGTTGTGGCTTACACCTGCACTGTTAGTTTAGTCTCAACTGTCTGGATGGGAGGGGGAGAGTGTCCTTATTCAATGATTCTCTATGGCTGCATTTTATTCCACAAAGCTGTTTCCCTTCCTCTCTTCTCTTCTTCCCTTCATGGATGTTACAGGAGTGGATGGGGGAAAGCAATATTGCGCAAACTGAAAGTGGCGCTATTGACTTATTATTTGTTTTTTGGGATCCCCATTAGCTTTTGCAGAAGCAGCAGCTACTCTTCCTGGGGTCCACAAAAACACAAAACATGACAAGTAACAAAACACTGATAGACTGATAAACAAGGACAGTCACACAAATTTAAAATAAGATATACACATAACACCACAACAAACATAATACAAACAATACAACAAAAAATAATGTGTGTGTTTGTGTGTCACCTCACAGTCCCCGCCGTTCCATGAGTTGTTGTTTAATTAAAAAAAATTTAAGGTAATTTTGCTGTTTGCTTGAGTAATTGGAGAAGGAAGGGAGTTCCATGTGATCATGGCTCTGTATAATACTGTGCGTTGCCTTGAATTAGTTTTGGACTTGGGGACTGTGAAGAGACCCCTGGTGGCATGTCTTGTTGGGTATGTATGGGTGTCTGAGCTTAATGTTATTTGATTATGCAGACAATCTGGAATTTTCATTACTAATATGTATCATAACTAGGAGATGCAGTTCATTTCTCTTTAACCCTCAACCAGGAAAGACTGGTATGCATGTTGTTGATGTTAGTTCTGTATGTGCAGTTAAGGGCAAGGTATGCTTCTCTGTTTTGAGGCAACTGCAGCTTTGCTAGGTCTTTCTTTGCTGCTCTTGACCATATTACTGGACAGTAATCAAGATGGGATAAGACCAGCGCCTGAACAACTAGTACAGTTGATTTTTGTGTCAAACGCAGAACATATTTTTGTAACAGACATACCCCTCCCCATCTTCACAACGACTTTGTCAATATGACCTGACCATGATAATTGACCATCCAATGTTATACCTAGGAGTTTAGCTTACTCAACTTGCTCAATGGTCACACCCTTTATGCACAACTCCAGTTTAGGTTTTAGAGAATGTTTTGAGCCCAATACAATGCTTTTAGTTTTAAATGTATTTAATACCAGTTTATTATTAATCACCCATTCTGATACTGACTGTAACTCCTTATTTAGAATTTCAGTGAGCTCACTGGCTTTGGGTGCTGACATGTAGAGTGTGGAATCATCCACATACAAAGTCATTCTAGCTTCGTGTAAGACCAGTGGCAAATCATTTGTAAAAATAGAGAAGAGTAACGGCCCAAGGCAACTGCCCTGAGGGACACCGCACTGTACATATCTGACGTTAGAGAAGCTTCCATTGAAAAACACTCTCTGGGTTCTATTGGATAAATAACTCTCCAACCATGTGATGGCAGGTGACATAAAGCCATAGCAAGTGAGTTTCTTCAATAACAATTTATGATCAATAACATCAAAGGCTGCACTGAAATCTAACAATACAGCTCTAACTATCACCTTATTATCCATTTATTTTAACCAATCTGTCATCTGAGCAGTGCAGTACAAGTTGAGTGCCCTTCTCTATATGCATGCTGAAAGTCAGTAGTTAACTTCTTCTCTGAAAAATAGCATTGTATTTGACCAAACACAATTCTCTCCATCAGTTTACTAAGAACAGGCAGCAAACTGATTGGGCGGCTGTTGGAGCCAGAAAAGGGTGCTTTACTATTTTTAGGCAGTGGAATTACATTAGCTTCCGTCCACAGGCACACACACACTCCTTTAGGCTTTGGTTAAAGATATAGCAAATAAGGGTGGCAATAGAGTCTGCTACCATTCTCAATAGTTTCCCATCAAGGTTGTCTATACCTGGTGGCTTATCATTATTGATGGTAAACAATAGTTTTTCCACCTCTCCCACACTAACTTAACCAAATTCAAAACAGCATTCCTTCTAATTCATTAGGGTTGTGGGTTCGATTCCCACGGCTCTGGATAAGAGCGTCTGCTAAATGACTAAAATGTAAAATGTAATGATTTATACAAAATGATGATGGTTTAGACCTACATCAACCATGTTTCCGAGATCTGTGATAGGGAGTGATTAAGGCTAAAGGGAAGATACATTTCTCTCTAGAATGAAACTCAGCCCATGTCTCTGTGAAACAGCTAAGCCATGTCTTTATACATCCCTGTGTTACTGTATCTCCTATGAGTCAACAGAGCTGATAAGGCCAGTCAGTCAGTCGTTGGATCATTGATTTATAGAAGCATTAATGGCCCAATGCAACCGTTTTTATATCAATATCAAATCATTTCTGGGATTGTTTTCAAATAAAATTGTCAAAAAGAAACAAAAATAGCTTCTTAGCAAATAGCAATTTCTAAAGCAATAATTTATCTTGGACTGTCTGGGAGTGGTTTGAGTGGGGAAGAGAAAACTGAAAACTAGCTGTTATTGACAGAGAGGTTTGGAACTCTCTTTCTTATTGGTCTGTTAACTAATGTACCACCTGGTGATGTCACCAGGCAGGCCAAAACTCCATCCCACCAAAACAGTCTATGTGTATAATGATGCTACTGTCCAGAGCCTGTGCTCCTTATCTGTATGGCCTATGGTATAGGGATACAGTTTATTCGAAAAGTATTCAGACCCTTTGACTTTTTCCACATTTTGTTACGTTACAGCCTTATTCTAAAATGGATTAAATAAAAATTTTCCTCATCAATCTACACACAAGACCCCATAATGACAAAGCGAAAACAGGTGTTTAGATTTTTTTGCAAATGTATTAAAAATAATAAACAGAAATACCTTATTTACATAAGTATTCAGACCTTTGCTATGAGACTCGAAACTGAGCTCAGGTGCATCCTGTTTCCATTGATCATCCTTGAGATGTTTCTACAATTTGATTGGAGTCCACCTGTGGTAAATTCAATTGATTGGACATGATTTGGAAAGGCACACACCTGTCTATATAAGGTCCCACAGTTGATAGTACGTCAGAGCAAAAACCAAGCCATGAGGTTGACGGAATTGTCCGTAGAGCTCCGAGGCACAGATCTGGGGAAGGGTACCAAAAATGTATGCAGCATTGAAGGTCCCCAAGAACACAGTGGCCTCCATCATTCTTAAATGGAAGAAGTTTGGAACCGCCAAGACTCTTCCTAGAGCTGGCCGCCCAGCTAAACTGAGCAATTGGGGGAGAAGGGCCTTGGTCAGGGAGGTGACCAAGAAAACCCGATGGTCACTCTGACAGAGCTCCAGAGTTCCTCTGTGGAGATGGGAGAACCTTCCAGAAGGACAACCATCTCTGCAGCACTCCACCAATCAGGCCTTTATGGTAGAGTGGCCAGATGGAAGCCACTCCTCAGTAAAAGGCACATGACAAGCCGCTTGGAGTTTGCCAAAAGGCACCTAAAGGACTCTCAGACCATGAGAAACAAGATTCTCTGGTCTGATGAAACCAAGATTGAACTCTTTGGCCTGAATGCCAAGCGTCACGTCTGGAGGAAACCTGGCACTATCCCTACTGTGAAGCATGGTGGTGGCACCATCATGCTGTGGGGATGTTTTTCAGCGGCAGGGACTGGAAGACTAGTCAGGATCGAGGGAAAGGTGAACGGAGCAAAGTACAGAGAGATCCTTGATGAAAACCTGATCCAGAGCGCTCAGGACCTCAGACTGGGGCGAAGGTTCACCTTCCAACAGGACAACGACCCTATGCACACAGCCAAGACAACGCAGGAGTGGCTTTGTGACAAGTCTTTGAATGTCCTTGAGTGGCCCAGCCAGAGCCCGGACTTGAACCCGATCGAACATCTCTGGAGAGACCTGAAAATAGCTGTGCAGCGACGCTCCCCATCCAACCTGACAGAGCTTGAGAGGATCTGCAGAGAAGAATGGGAAAAACTCCCCAAATACAGCTTGTAGCGTCATACCCAAGAAGACTCAAGGCTGCAATCCATGCCAAAGGTGCTTCAACAAAGTACTGAGTAAAGGGTTTGTATACTTATGTAAATGTGATATTTCCGTTTTTTAGTTTAATACATTTGCGAACATTAAAAAAACAACAGTTTTTGCTTTGTCATTATGGGGTATTGTGTGTAGATTGATGAGGGAAAAAAACATTTTGATACATTTTAGAATAAGGCTGTTTCATAACAAAATGTTGAAAAAATCAAGGGGTCTGAATACTTTCTAAATGCACTGTATGTGGGCCTGGTGTTTATAATTTTTTTGTTGGGTGTCTACTTTGAGAAATGACTTGCTATTGTTGTGTTCCCATATACTTGTATAGCAGTTGTGTATGTTTCATGCACTGAACTTTGAGCTAGTTTAAAACCAATGTGGGGGGGTGAATCAATTGTACATAACCCAAAGGTACATGATTGTAACACATTATGTAATGTCAACAAGACACATAAGCACCTCACACTCAGCATGTCTTTTATGACAGGAGTATCATCAAGGGAAAAGTAGTGCTTCTGTCAATTTGTCTCGAAAGCCTTGTTTGCCCTAAACTGGGTGTCCAAGTAGACCAATAACAAATGTATCCACACCGGTTACTCAAATACTTCACACTCAGTGACATCACCCTCTGATGGGGGTAGATAGACAATAAAAGCACCATCGCCTCTTACTCAGTGTTGACACAGTGGCCCGGGGGATGGTGGACGGAGGAGAGGGAGTTAGCTCCATAGAGATGGGCTCTGAAGAGAATCAAGAGATCTTGTCTCTTCTCTGTGCTTTTGGGACCTGGTGCAACAGCTCTGGCCACTCTGAGAGACACAGCAGAATCTCCTCTAAGACCAGCAGCAACGCCTCAGACACTACTACTAACTTGTTTCAGAGACAGTTGGAGCTGTTCACCTGCGAGTGGCACATCTTTCCGCCTCCACGCCGCTCCAGGGCTTTGCCCCATCCTGGGTTTCCTGGCTGTTTCACTGGTTATTCCTGTCATCCTCGCCCGGATACTGACTAGGTGAGTCACCTCAATTCCAAAATTGACCCTTAACCCCTACCCCCTAGGTATGTAGATCTAATGCATAGATGCGATGGTGTGTAGATTTGATGGACAGGTGTGAGCAATTTCCCCTAGCTCATCAGCAGACTGGTAAAGCTACTACCTTATTGCATATGTCTATCAAATGCTTTCAGATCTACTTAAGTGCAGAAAGATTGGGTAAAGGTTTTGGAATTAGGCAAACGTAATATTTATTGTCATCATCATCCTCCTCCTAGCCCCTGGATGCGCCAGGAGGCCCGCTACCTACTCCTGGCCGATGCATTGCTAAGTGACATGCTGTTCCTGTTACTGTACATGGTGAGCACCTGTCCGAACGTGGCGGGTGTGCTGATGTCAGAGTGGCATCCTCAGTACCAAGGACGTGGTGCTGGACACCTCACTGACTGTGATGACTCCACTCCGATACTGCACCCTGTTGCCAGTCTCCAGGTAATGGGAACACAGGCTGGGAGAGTTTTACTAGTACATGTAATGACTTCACTGATGTTATAATGGATGGAGCCCCGTGTAGCTCAGTTGGTAGTGCGTGGCGCTTGCAACGCCAGGGTTGTGGGTTCGATTCCCGCGGGGGGCCAGTATGAAAAATGTATGCACTCACTAACTGTAAATCGCTCTGGATAAGAGCGTCTGCTAAAATGTAATGGAGTTTAGAGAAACGAACTCTTTCCTCTCCTCTCCTTTCTGTAGGACGAGGAGGGCGATCGCTGATATCTAGGCAGTGTCTGTATTGTTACCAGTAGGGGTGTTTTTGGTACCACTCTACAGGACCCTGCCCCCTACACATCTGCTCTCTGCCCCTCCTCCTGGTCCTCACCGTCAGCCAATCCACTCCCATGCACGTGACTCTCAATCAATCAATCAAATTATATTGACAATTTGCTTCTCATTACATATAATTTTTTTATCAGGCAAATGTATTCTGCCTTTATGCATCCTATTCTCAGGTGTCCATGCTCCTGACAGCAACAGGCATCCTTCTCATCCTGCTCCTAGTCTTCCCTGGCTACGGCATTCTATAATGTCGCACCCGCATGTCTGGCGTGTAAAGAGGAGAACGCTCCTCTCGGACCAAAGGCCCCTTCCTCATCCAATACCTCCACCACTTCCTGTCCTTCCCATGCTGGTGCTGCAGGCTCTACTGCCACCATGATGCCGTTGACCTCCCTAGTGGTGTGTAACATCCTCCTGGTGCTGCCCAAAGCCCTGGCACCATACCTGTATGGTCTCAGGTACAGAGACCTGTGTGGGGCCATGTTGTCCTTCTATTGGCTGAAGTGCCCACGGCCGTCTCGCCTCTCATGTGACTTTTGAATGAAGGGGGCTATGGGAGCAAAAAGGACTGTAAAGTTGTCAATAAAACACCCACTGGGCACACCACGTCATTTCAACGTGGATAATTGGGAAATATTTGGTTGAGATGTTGATCAATGAGATTACAACCTACAGGTAACTGCCAAATTAAAGGAAAAAATTGAGTAAATGAGGGATACAAAGTATATTGAAAGCATGTGCTTCCACACAGGTCTGGTTCCTGAGTTAATTAAGCAATTAAAATCCAATCACGCTTAGGGGTCATTTATAAAAATGTCCAGTTGCCCATTATTTTGGCCACAAGAAGAGATCTCTGTGACTTTAAAAGAGGGAGCAGAGGTGGTTTAAAGGGTGTGTCTGTGTATGTCTCATTCTGGAGCGGAGCCTAAGACAGCGTTTTCCACCACCATCAACAAAATACCAAATGATGGCATTTCTTGTGGAAGACTGGTGTCGCATCCCTTCAATAGAGTTCCAGACACTTGTAGAATCTATGACAAGGCGCATTGAAGCTGTTCTGGTGGCTCGTGGGGGCCCAATGCCCTATTAACAAATTAGGTGTAGGTGTATCCTTTATTTTGGCTGTTTGTTACCTGTATATATGCATCCACTCAAAGAACTGCCAAAAGTTAGTTGAATTTCCAATGTGTTATCACTATGCTTTCAACCATCTAAAAGCACAATCAAATTTCATTGGAAAAACAGTGTACTGCTTAGATAGTTCCATCTGAGCCACTTGCTTAATTCCATTCTTTAACTTGTATTTTTGGTTGAGTTGGAGACTTGAATCCAACATATAATTTGTTCACTTGTTGAGAAGTTAATAGGCTATTTATCGTATTTCAAAAGTGATATTGAATTGTGTTGGGTTGTCAACGCAACCAAATATCAACATTTGAAGGAGGTTTATCTTCTGCTTGTATAGCTCCATCTCTGCCACTGGCTTAGTCTGGCTTTAATTCCAGTTTTTCTACAAATAAATAATTAATATGTTGGATTCACGTCTCCATCTCAACCAAAAATGTTCGTTATGTTGACGTTGAGTGAGAGGTTATTTTCCTGGCACCACACTCCCAGAGCCCTCACCCCCTCCCTTTAGGCTTTCTCGTCATTGTTGGTAATCAAGCCTACTACTGTTGTGTCGTCTGCAGACTTGATGATTGAGTTGGAGGTGTAGTCATGGGTGAACAGGGAGTACAGGAGGGGGCTGAGCATGCACCCTTGTGGGGCCCCAGCGTTGAGGATCAGCGAAGTGGAGATGACCTGGGGGCGGCCCGTCAGGAAGTCCAGGACCCAGTTGCACAGGGCGGGGTTCAGACCCAGGGCCTCGAGCTTAATGATGAGCTTGGCGTGTACTATGGTGTTGAATGCTGATCTATAGTCAATGAACAGCATTCTTACATAGGTATTCCTCTTGTCCAGATGGGATAGGGCAGTATGCAGTGTGATGACGATTGCATCGTCTGTGGATCTATTGGGGCGGTAAGCAAATTGAAGTGGGTCTAGGGTGACAGGTAATGTAGAGGTGATATGATCCTTGACTAGTCTCTCAAAGCACTTCATGATGACAGAGGTGAATGCTACGGGGCGATAGTCATTTAGTTCAGTTACCTTTGCTTTCTTCGGTACAGGAACAACGGTGGCCATCTTGAAGCATGTGGGAACAGCAGACTGGGAAAGGGAGAGATTTAATATGTCCGTAAACACACCAGCAAGCTGGTCTGCGCATGCTCTGAGGACGCGGCCAGGGATGTCGTCTGGGCTGGCAGCCTGGCAGGGGTTAACATGCTTAAGTGTCTTACTCACTTCGGCCATGGAGAAGGAGAGGCCGCAGTCCTTGGTGGTGGGCCTCGTCGGTGGCACTGTGTTATCCTGAAAGCGGGCGAAGAAGGTGTTTAGCTTGTCTGGAAGTGATGTTGAAACCTAAATATTCTGATATAGCTTTTTCTTTTGTATAAAGATAAGCTTGAAGTGGGGATGGTCTAATTGATTTAACAAGCAAAAATACATATCTAAGTTTAGCTTTTTAAATGAACCATAAAATCAATGGTTATTTCTGGTTGCTTATCAAAGTTGGCTGGCTAACTCATTGATTCTGCTTTGTATTATGTCCCTCAGATAGTCAACAACATCTGGAATCCACATCTGTTGCAGGATGTTAAAGGTACAGTGCCACAGACCATTTTTAAGCAACTACCTACTTATCTATTGTATCAACCATCATGTATGTCAGTGTAAACTAAAGGCAATATGTTTTTCGAATATCATTTAATCAAGAATGCATGTGCATTGAACATCCACTAGAGGGTAATGGTGCTTCGAAACAGGCTTTTCGACTGATGATGACATATTGCATCGACAGGTTGGGACAAAACATTGAAAATGGGTCTGAGACCAAAAACAAAAGTGATTCAGAGAAGTGAGGAAGTAGCTCTCTAAGGATAGCTCTCCTTATCCGAGTAGGATTGTACAACATTATAATGCAGTTTTGAAATGATGCCATGATTCCTTTAACCCCTCCCCCTGTCCCCTGTAGAGAGCTGCAGCTGCAGCATGTTTTGCACCATTCTACCCAAATGCCCCATATTGGGTTACACCTGATGAAAAATAAAAAATCATGACAGGATATAACACAACTATGTTATTGACCAGAGTGTGATTGTATATAAAGTAAATGGTTGTTTTTCATCCAATTAAAACTGTCAGTATTCAACAATAAGGAAAGTTACTAAAGTATGTCTGACTTATACTTTACTAGTCTCCCAACTCATGCGTATACGTGACTCAATTAATAATCATTAGGCCTATATCAATATTAGGCAATATCCTGTACTTTATTACTCAATCGGTGTTGACAACAAAGTTTCCAGAGTTTTTGCGAAAAACATCAGGGAAGTGTTTGCAAACAAAGTCCAGCCACGTGGAGTACAAAGGTACTTGGGAAGTGCTGTTTCTGATTCCACAACTGTAAGGCACATCCCCTTCTTATTAAATACACTACCCATAAGCACCAATAACTCCAGCTGACTAGGTCGGCATAGGATGTGACATATATCTCCATGTGATGTTTACACTTTGTTACAGTTCTTTGTCTCTGCGAGCATAATAAATCATGATGTCTATGGCATAGATAAATACATTTTTGTTTAGTTTTTTTTTGTATAAAGAAACATTGCTATCATACAATTTTGGGATCAAGAATTTTCAGATCATCATTTTAACTTTATGTTGTTTTTTTGTTAGTTTTTTTCTCACCGCTCCAAATAGCGTAGGCGGCTCATACGAAAACTCCAGGATAAGGTAAGATCGTTAGTCCTAACCTACTGTAGAAATAGAACCTAATACTTTACGTGTATTTCAATACGCTCATGTATTCAGTTGTGGCACTGGATAGTCGTATCCTGTTTAAGTGAATGTTGGTAATGATACTGTGAGTGCCTTTGTTAAGCTAAGCATAATTAAGCACTGTTCAAGGTTGGCGAGAAGAGGTAATCGACTATTTAAAAAAAAGCTACCAGATAGGCTAGTATATTATTTATGAGATGAATAATGCCTACCATAAAGAGAACTTACGGGTTTTTAACTTTTTTGGAGTCGCTATTGTGCATATGCCTACATGCATTTTATTCAAAACATTTAGACATTCATCGTCCACCTATTGCTGCATCAATATTGACCATTATACATTTTAGCAGACGCTCTTATCCAGAGCGACTTACAGGAGCAATTAGGGTTAAGTGCATTGCTCAAGGGCACAGACAGATTTCTCACCTAGTCGGCTCGTGGATTAGAACCTGCGACCTTTCAGTTACTGGCACAACGCTCTTATCCACTAAGCTACCTGCTTATCCACTAAACTACCTGCTCAGAATTTAATCTGCTCAAAGATTTGGGGATTTGCTTGTTTATTGTGCGTAATTATACCTAGGCTATATGACCATTCCCAATTTAGAATTCACCTATAGACGAATATCTAAAAAAAGACTAGATAAGAGATAGCTGCATAGAACACTTTGTTGGTGTCTGTATAGCCAGGGCCGGGCTTTTTTATTTATTTTTGCAACTCAGTCAGGCTCTCAATGTACTATTGAGAGTAAGAATAGTAGAATACACCAGGTGCAATTTCGACATTTGGTTGTGCATTAGCAGTTTTCTTTTATGTCAGTCACTGACAGCCACTCAATTAGCCATTTCGGCCAACAATTTTTAGACGGGTACTTAGTCTAGCCAGCAATCTAAACTTGTAGTAATCATGGCCGAATACCGACTGGGCACTCAAGGCACATGCTCAGGGGCCCTATTGATTTTGTTAGTCATTCTTACTCAGATATCATATTAACATGGCATAAAGCATTTGTAGAATTGCAGGAAATGAGCATTAAAACTGCAAAAATGTATCTCCGCCCCATGGCAAAATGTGTAGAATTGCAGGAAATTAACTTTAAAACTCATGTTTCTCTCTGTCGTCAAGAGGTGGTCCACTAAAATGTTTTGTGTGCGTCTGGCGGCGTGCACGGCCAGGTTAAATATAGCCTGGAGGGAGAATGCCCTAATTTATCAGTAAAGCCAGACCCATGCGCTTTATTAACGACCTCTGTCCAGCACATGCACATGGAGTGACGGGCACACACTGGTGCCTCCAAGACAATGCAAGCAAATGTCAACTTCTTTATCTTTCCGAGAATGCAGTTGTTATGAAGGAATCCATTTTTAGAAGAAATAAACATGTATGGTTTGAGATAGTCAGCATAGGATAGCCCACACCTGTGTGTGTGCGTGCGTGCGTGTGTTCCTGTTTCACTTTTACCATCTAACCAAATTCAGAGACCATTAGTCAAAATCTGTGAGTTGATGAACAGACATGTTATACTTTATACCTGTTTAATACCCCCCACACTTGCCACTCTATGGAAGTGAACAAAATATACTTCAGAAGAGGAGGACGAGGCTCCCTCCCAGAATGGATTGACATTGATCTGGTTTGGCAGTCAGTCTGTCTG